GGCGACGATACGGAACGCTAAAACTTTAATTAATACAGACACGAGCGGTCATAAAAAGCAGGCAGTGGCGGCACCACCTGGCGCGCGCGCTGCTGTGTGTTTGGGGCGGAACAGCTTTACAACATATTTATGATCAGACCTGGTGGTTAGAGAGCCAAAAGGGAGGGGGGGGGGGCATTCAAAAACACGCGCGCTGCCGATACGCGTTTCGAAGCAAAGCAGTGCGTGTTCAATCATAGTAATGACGGTACAAATAAGCGCGGGAGAGCAGGGACGTAAGAATTTGAGAACGACTAGAATGATGGAGGAACGGGAGGGGCGGTCGTCGTCGGATTGGAGTACAGTCGGTGGCAGGGAGATTGGTGATGCTCAGATTCCGACCGCCTGCCGCCGCCGTCTGCTGCTGCTGCTGCTTTTGCACACTGTTCTTCAACAATGAAAATGAAACGGCTCCCTCCTCTCTTGCCTTTTATGATATGGCTTTGTGGAGGAGAGAGAGAGAGGGTAAAAGGGGGGTGGGGGGTGAAAAAGCGCACACGCTGGGGAGGGCTGGCTGTCGATTCATCACAAACAAATGGAAGATTTTCCCTTTTAAGCTCCGCGCCGCGCCCTCCATGCACGCCACTTCCATTGATAGAGCCCGCCCCGCACCCTGCGCACCTTCCCCGCCCGCCCGCCTGTTCCCGCCTACCTCCCGGCTCTTGTGATATCACTGATATCGCTTTCTGTTTTACCCTATTTTGCCAAAAAAACAAACAAGAAAACGTTGGAGACGGATTGAGTTGGCTCTGCACCTGAATTAATTGTTCTTATCACACGCCGAACCTCTATGACAGATACCTTTTTGCGCCAAAAGACGCCCGTGTGTATTCTCGCTTTTATCACTGAAAAAAGTAGGAAGGTTTACAGGAAAATTTTCCTTGACGCAAGTTGTAAAATTACAATTTGTAATCTTAAAATGCACATGCAGTACGTATTGGCTGTCAACTTAAAATGCATTGGCAAGTAGAAGATGTGCTTTCGTAAATTTACAACTTAAATTATTGTAATTCGAGTTTGCAAATTTTTGGTAAATAAACGACGATAACGACGAGTCTTTTCACAGTGGTGCTGTTTCTTGTTGAACCATGACAAGCGCGCAGCGATCGACCGACACGAGGCTGTCGAGGTGCCATTTTTATGTTATACGTTGTCCCGTTTAGCACCATCCTAAAGAAACAAAAGAAAAAAGAAACAACCAGCAGCAAAATGTTTTCTCTCCGTTTGTGTTGGCACTACTGTGTCCGTCCTGCCCTGCCGCTGTCGGCCATCATTAATTACTAGGAATACAACACGCCATTAATTGCGGCGCGCCGGGCCCGTTTGCGTCGCGCGCGTCAGCGTTGGACGGAGGGCCTGGCTGGACGTCGTGCCGGGGCCGGTCACTCAGGTAATGGCCACTGCGGCTGCCGACCAGACAGCTGCTCTGAAATTCAACACCGCATCAAATATCCAGTCTAGTCTCTGCGTCTGGAGGCACCCCCACCCCTGCATACATCTACGCACATTTCTCTCTGTCTCTATTCTCTCTCTCTCTCTCTCTCTCTCTCTCTCTCTCTCTCTCTCTCTCTCTCTCTCTCTCTCTCCCTCCCTCTCCCTCTCTCTCTTCCCCTCTTCCTCACCTCTCTTTTTTGTGGCGTTGGCCGTGCTCACTCTTTTGTTGCCGAGGGCTGAGCAGCAGCAGCAGCAGCAGTAGCAGTGCAGGCATGCGGTACGCTGCACATCGCACGGCTCGTTCTGGCTGTGCAGCATCAGAGAGCAGTGTGCCTATGCTGCTGCAGCCCCCTAGCACACTGCCGACAGAAAGTGTGGGCCGTGTTCCACCAAACGTCACCGTCTCCACCACGACATGCTGCTTGAACGTGTACGAAAGGCCACGACTATGTGTCTCAGGTTTCCCCCTCCCTAACATTAACATTGATGACACGATAACCCAACAGCTCCTTATTGGGCTTGGTTTTGTTTTTCGCTCGCAAAGTGTTCATTTGTGTCGATAAGGGAGCGTTGCAGTGGCGCCAGATAAGGCCGATGTGCTTATCTCCTCAGACGGGTGGACTCGGCTCGCGCTGCCCGTCGGATCAGACGTCGTTGCCGTCGATCGGCGGCGGGCCAGTCGGTGCTCACCGTCGCCGTCGGTGCGCCAGCGCTGTGCTGCGCAGGTTTATTTTTCGGAAGCCCGCTCCTGGAGTTCTAGGCGGACGATACGCTGCTGGAGGCCGCTCCAGCCGGGTCCGACTCCTATAGCCTCGCATTCTCTCGCTACTTAATGGCCGAGGAGACGTCCAACTACC